TGTCAGAAATCACATTAGCAAGGTTTCATACATAAAACTATGTAAACATAAATAAGCATGCGTAACAAGAGTTACCATATCTCATGATATGTAGTGCTTTATGTTCCAGTATTAAAACACAACAATGAAAAATATTATTAACAGGAATTATGTATGTGGATGCTTTGTGGTGTAAATACTGTAGGTTGTTGTTTTAGCTTGTAATGGCAATGCAGATTGACTGTTGTGGGAAATTTAACGAAAAATTTCATCAATAATTAAATTTATGTGCTTTTTTGACAGCCGTCCTGTTACGACGTAAAAAATCTCGAGTAATTTCAAAAAGAGGGGGAGAAACTTCAGACGTAAAACATGTCTTAACTGATCGACTACATTTGAGGAAACGGGGTGAACCAGTGACATATTTTACTTTTAAATTTCCTCTGTGCATGTAACCCACAAGATCATTTATATTCTTTGGCACATAGGTTGCCAAAGATTGTGGGTTTACCAGACTACCCGGTTTTTCTTGTTTTAACTGTAATGAAGAGGTTATAATGTGCTTTGATGAGACAGAATTAGTCCTCGATTTTCTCTCTCGACTCCCACCAGCAGACAGCCACACATTGATCTTTTCCTGTGTACGTTTGACCTGCGTGTCAATACGGCCACAGCACATCGCAGGGAACGGAAATCGTTGTCACAATTAAGCTTGTTTACACCTGCACTTGTTAAGGTGAACTAACATTGACTGGTTTCTCTTCATTTTCTCCTCTCTTCCACTCCATCTGTTTGTTTCTTTTTTCTTCATCTTCTCTAATCCGCTACAAAGAACACTCAAGTAGTGAGCCTGTGTTGGATGTAGCGGCTGGTACATTACAAGTGTGGAGTGTTCACATAGCTTTTTTTTAAATACAAATTTCTTATTTATGCTTATAAATGTAGTTCTGCTTTTATGTCTAAAGAAGAACATAAGGTTTATTATGTTAAAGGTAGTAAAACAATGATCTCTGGCATTTTATAGCAAGATTTCCAACTCTCTTTTTTTTTTTGAGTGCTCTAAGCTCACCTACAGTTAATTATGCAGTTTAATGAAGTGGGTTAGATCAGAAAAGGACTTTCAGGACTGTGTAAATTTCACAATGAATGGACCAAAAGAAATGGCCCAAAAAATTCTGGTTCCATTGAGTTTACTTCTCCTTTCATTTTGGTGTGTGCAAACTTTTGGCTGGTACAGTAGATCTCCAAGAATAAGCCTAGTGAGCTCTGATTAAATTAATTTATGCAGAATTCAGTCCCATGGGCTTGCCATGCTGTACAAGTTAGAGTTCTCCTTATTCGACTTGAATTTCAGATTCCTGCTCAGAAGAAACTGACTGAAATGAAAATTTCAACACTGACAACAGTTTCAAGGAAATTCCAGAAATATTGATCAATATAATTTTGTATATAATATAACTTCACTGTAATGAAAGACTCTTCTCAAATTACGTGCATCTGTTAGTTATAATCTAAAAGTCAGCACTTATAATTATTAGTACTTTAATCGCAGGATTTTCACTGATATCAATAAATCTGTCAAACTTGAATATTGGCGATTTCTTCTGCCAGCCAATCTGTATCAGTCAGGCCTCAAAAGGACATTTCAGTTATGTATTCAAAGTGAACTGTGTAATTCTTTGTCACCATAGCCATCTGTTGAGGGAGGACTGAAATACAGTACAATTCAACACAGTCATAATATAAAACAAGCTACTCTAAAAGATGTCCCTTAAGTTGTTGTGATGTTTCAAGATGTTTTGATGGCTTTGGAGGACACTGTCGAAAACCTCTCTCTTATACGTGTTCAAATGGGTTGAGATCTTTTGACTGCAAAGACCATAACATAGTTTACATACTTATTAAACCATTCAGAGACCCCTGGAGTCCTGTCGTCCTGGAAAGGACCACACCCACCAGCATAGAAACGATCCATCAAAAGATATTGAATTATACAGTATGCCTGCCTGAAAGTATAGCCTCACTCATGTTTTTCCTTTAATTTGTTGTCTATCTGTGCATCAGATCACCTATTATCCCAGATAAAGACAAGTCAATCAAATCTTAGTATTTGCTGATTTTATTATTTTTAATTATTATTGTATCAGATATACCAGTTGGGCCCTCGTAGGAAGGTGAACCTACAAGAAAAATAAAAATAATAAAACATTTCTTTCATGCTGATTTCCAGTCTCCAGCCAAGGGTGGATCTATGCATTGCTGCAGCCCTCTAGGACTTTTCTGTTTTTATGGTTGCAGCAAAACAGCTGCAGAAGCATTGCAGTTCTGTCTTACAGTGAGGAAGACCCCTCCAGACTCCAGCAGTGCAGTATTACTGCAGCAGTGTTTACAGTGCAGGGCTTGAAAACAGAGTTTTAGTTAAGCTACTGTGTAATAGGAGTGTAACAGTATGCAGTATCAGGATACAATATTTGCTATGGTTTTGCAACACAGTATGCTACATTTCTGATGGAGAAGTGGAAAGAAGGAATGGTAACTTTATTTATTTATTTATTTAGTTGGTTGGTTGGTTGGTTGGTTTGTTAGGTCATCAGTGTCCAATGTTTTTCATTAAGAACTGCTAAGCTTTAAAATGAGCCATTTTTGGTTGAAGCTCTCCACTTAAGATGAGCATCTAAAACAGCAATACACAGCTAGCAACATCATACAATCTGAGTGTGGATATTTCTGGCTAGATTTTGACCTATTTTAGATTTATTGTTATTTCCTCCAATATCTGATTCAGTATTCTGCTATTTAAATTCTGATATTTTGCTGATATTGATCTGTAGTTTTGTAGTTTTTGCAACATAATACAATATATTTCCAATGCACAAGCAAAAAACAAGGAATGAGAAAAGATCACTTGCAACGCAAGTTAATGCAGGGTGTGAACAGGTCCAGCATGATCTTGGGGTCTGGGAAAGTATAAAAGCACATTGTCTTTTGTGGTGGTCTCGTTTTGCAATGACATGGACTGAAGAGTGGAAAACATTACAGTTCATGTTATTGTGTCTGAGATCACAAATAGTTGATTCACAGTATGTATTGTTTTGCAACTCTAATTGAATATTAATATGTGTGTAGTAACACTCCTATTGAATAAAGGCTTATTGGCTTCTTTTCTATCAAGGTTTTTAGGTGTGTAACAGCTGCAGAATCAGTGTGTGTGCATGTGTGTGCAGGTGGTGAACAGCAGCTCCAGTGAGGCTGAGAATAAAGGCCATTACAGTGAGATTTATTATAGCACATGGATGACACACACACACACACACACACACACACACATACATATAGAGTGCACGTTGACCTTGAGAAAGATTGGCTACACTGAAAGGTAAAGATAGTGTGCATAAGGTGTGTGTATGAGCGTTTGTGTTAAACGTCCTGAGGTTATTACTAGTACTGCATGTCGTTATAGTAAAAGGAAAGCATAACCAATCAGTAGAAATGAGGACATTTTGCTGATCATCTCAAGAAAACATGCCGTTTTCACCAGATTTGCGACATAAAAAAGAGCCAAAAGTATGGATGTACCAATATGAGAATTCTGGGCTGATGCCGATATCTGATATTTTTCACGTGTACACGGCTGCAGAAGGCGTTATCATGGGAACCGAGTGGGTGGACCATGCTGCACCGCAATTTTCCATTGGCTGAACGGGCTGTAGACTGGACTTAATGTGTTCATGCAGATGCTTTAGAAACTGTATAGAACGCCTACATACAGTTCTGGGAGTAAAACGAGGACGGAACGATGTTCCGGTACAGATTTCAAAAACTGCATGTAGTTGTCTTACATGTGCATGAACTATATTAAGTCCAGCTTACAGCCCATTCAGCCAAGTGTGTTCCCCGGTAGACTTGTGATGTCATGTGTAGTGTGCAGTACCATCGTCATATTGTGTGTTACTATATCTGTGTTATTAGTAAATATTTTAGAACATGATGAATTTAGTCTAATTATAGTGCACTGATCTCTCTCTTACTCTTCTCCCTCACACACACATGCATATGCATTCTGAAAGTGTGCTGCTACGCAAGAATGATCTCAGTGAGAAACATCATTAAGAGGAAGCATCAGCCCCCCCCCCACACACACACACACACACACACCATCGTCTGGCTGCTTTTGTAAGAGAAAAGAGGAGGATGACAGAAGGGAGGAGAGGAGGGTGAGTGAAGAGAAGCAGAGATGAGAAAATTAGATGAAACGAGCAAATAAGAAGAGAGAAGAAGAGGACAGGAGAGTAGAGAAAGAGAGAGTGGACAGGACAGAAAAGGAGAGATAAGGATCAGAGAGGTGCAGTTGGGATAAAGAACTGAGAGGAAAAGGGAGAGAGAGAAGAGGAGTAAAGAGATGAAGAAATGGGAGAAGAAGAAGAAGAAGAAAGGAAGAGGATAAAAAAAGGCAAGAAGATGAAAGAGATGTGAAGAGGAGAGGAGAGAGGAAAGAGAAGAGAAAAGGGGAGAGAATGTGAAAGGAGAGGCGAAAGGAGGGGAAAGGAGAAGAAATGAGAATGAAAGAAGAGGAGAACAGCAGATCAGAGAAGGAGATGAAGGCAGAAATGAGAAAAGAATGAAAGAGGTGTCTGGGAGAAAAAAGAAGAGGATTAGTAAAGCTAGAGAGAAGATGAGTGAAGAGATGAGAGCAGAGGAGCAGCAAGAAGGTGAAGAGAGAAGCAGAGGAGAGGTGACAGAAAAGAGGAGAAAGGGAGAAGAGGAGAGAAGCAATGTGGAAGAGAGGATGAACGAAGAAATGCGAAAGTAAGTGAGAATGAAGATGAAAAGAGAGGAGATAAGAGAAAAGAAAAAAGGAAAGAAAAGGAGAGAAGCAGAGAGGAGAGATGACGAAGGGAGGAGGAAAAAGCAGAGAATAAGTGGAGAGGAGGGAAAATGAAAATAGAGGAGAAAGAGAGAGAGGGGACAGTAAAGGAGAGAAGAGGATGAAAAACCTGCAGGGAAGAGAAAAAGATGAGAGAGAGGAATGAGAGAAGAGGAGAGAAGTAGAGGATGAGAATAGAGAAGGAGAGAAAGATGACGAAGCAGGAGTGTGAAGCATAGAGAGAGAGGGAGAGAGATGTGGAGAGAGGGAAAGGATGAGAGAAGAGGGGAGATTAGAAGATGAGATTGGACCTTGCTGCTCTCGAGTATCATTCATCCTCTGCTGGACTGTGCAGCAGTCTGCTGTTGTAGCAAACACACCACAGCCACCGTACAACACCAGCCATCTGTGTGTGTGTGTGAAATAAGAAGTAGAGAGATAGACCTTCATGCTTATAAAGGCATGCAGCGCAACATAATAGCACGTGTGTGTGTGTGTGTGTGCGTGTGTGTGTGTGTGTGTGTGTGTGTGTGTGTGTGTGTGTAGACATACAGTTGTTTAACACACATGGAACTGGACAAGACACCTAGATATTAGTTAGTTAGTTAGATAGATAGATAGATAGATAGATAGATAGATAGATAGATAGGAGAGGAGACAGATGGGTAGAATGAGGATAGATAGATAGATAGATAGATGGATAGAGTGTAAGGAGGTAGAATCAGAGGAGAAAACAAAAAAGGCAATAGAAAGCTTGAGAAAGTGAGATAAGAGAAACAAATGGAGAGAGAGAGAGAAAGAAGGGTATGAAGTGAACAAAAAGAGTCAGAGATAAAGATGAGAAAGGAGGAAAGAAGGAAAAATATGGAGAGAGAGAGTGATCAAGTGACATAAGAGACAAACAGATGATGGAAAAGGTGAGAGAGGGAAAGAAATGTAGCCTGTGAGAGTGTGAGCGAGTGAGATAAGGGAAACAAATGGGGAGAGAGAGATGGGGAGAGGGAGGGAGTGAGAGAGAGAGAAAAAGAGAAGGATCTCGGCTTTGAGCAGCAGTGTGCCGTTAGCGGCGGGAAGGAAGGAGCAGGAGAGATCAGGGGACAGAGAGACGAGAGGACGAGAGGCAGGAGGGATGGAAAGATATAGGAGTGGATGAGTGCTGTGCGGTTGATTGGTCTGCAGTGTGAGGAGTGTACGGCTTTATATCAGACACAGTGGTGTGATTCCTTCACTGTGAGCAGTGGAGCTGCTCTGTGTTGAATTATTGAAGCTGCAGCTGAATTTTGGGGACGAACTCATTTATTATTGACGAACGCTAATTGGAATGGAAAGCTCGAGCATGTGTTGGAAGTGTTTTCTTCATCGCCATTTGTTTGTTTATGTTCGGAAAAGACTGGCAGACGTCGAGAGTGGATGCTGCTCAGAGTTGAAACTGTCGCTGACTTGCACCTGAAGACGGAGCGGAAATTGTTTTTGGAAAATGTGAAGGACAAACGTCTGAACCAAGGATTAGACTCCTGGGACGTGTGTACGTGTGTGTGTGTGTGTGTGTGTGTGTGTGTGCTGTCCAGCTATATGTTTGGTTGTCATGAGGTACCTGGGACACTGTGGGCGACCCTTGGCTCCGCCCACAACCCCACCCACAACTCTGCCTTCAGTTGACCATGCAGGTTCTCCAGATTGTCAAAGAGCTGGTATCTCCCTCACGGCGAAGAGCCAGCGCCAGGTTTGCAGGTGCGTTTGAAGGTGTGTGTGGCCCCAAAAGTATCTGGACACTTAAAGCCTATTTAACCATTGGTAAACTTTATTAAAAGTTAAAGTTAATGAATTTAAGGTCAGGTTACTTTATAAAATGTTTAAGAAAATGATATTTATTTCAAAGAAAAACACTTCAGTGCAACTTCAAACTAATAGTAAACTCTTTGTGTGGAGAAGACATCTAACCAGACCACATTAAGAGTACTGTAAAGCACAGAGGTGGAAATATCTGAGTTTTTTTTTTACAGTGGTGTAGTCAGAATGCATTTCGGATGCAAACTTGCAGAAGTTTGCAAGGAAATATTGTACATTAAGTACATTGTTAAGTATGGCACAAATGTCCAGTTACTTTTTGTGACCATTCTCTATGGCCAAATGCATATTTATGGGATGGAGGAAGAGGGAAATAAAACATGAAATAACTGGTTAATATAATATTTCCCCACATACTGGTGCATGGTGACTTAATCAAAAATCAGAAGACATTTTAGAGGCGGGTCGTTACGTTTTGTACGAAGCATTATGAGAAGATTTTATCTTTTAAGCAATATATGATGCTTAATCTGACCAAGCACATGAATTAACATAGTAAAAAGGTTTATTTTGATTCTGATTGACTTTAATTGATTGTATTTGTTGTAATATATTTGATTTTGAATGTTTGTAGTGATGTACCGCAAGTATCAATGGTGTTTTCCAACATTCTTGCATTTTCATAAACCTCCATAACTAATGTTTGCAAGGCTACAAAGTTGTTTAATCTGATACAGATAAAAACTAAACTACTACCATAGCTGTAGCGTGAGTACCCAGACTTTATGGTTGTAATAGCAGTCTAGCTTACTGTGAAGACATCAGTAACCACGTACTTAGTGACTTCTAGCTAGCTAATGTTAAAGCTTCTGTTTCAGAGCTCACAAGGGCTGTTTAGCTTTTTGTGGCAAATGTGTTAGCTTGTCCCAGCAAGTTCATCTAAATTTTTTAAAAGGCGCCCATCGCCACCCCACCTAGTTGACGGAAGGAGCAAGTTAGCCTACCCAGGCTCCATTGTCTAACAGCTGTTATGAACTCTGAAAATTTGTACATTATTCACATCAGACTGCAGTGATTGCTACATAACAATGGGTTTCCAGGTTAAAAGGCTTAATGTTCTATGTTGTAGATAATTGAAGCAGGTTAGAAACGAGAACAAAGAATTCGCCACCATGCTAATGCTAGCTCAAACTATGTCTAATCTATTTTAGCAGCGCAGTTTCTGTAAAACTCGTAAAGCTTCTGTGAAGCTTGTCCGACCGAAGCTTCATTCATAGCAACAGTTGCTATGAAAGAATACCTTTATGTGTGTAGGTGTGTTATTGTCTTGTTAGTAATGCTTATAAGGCAAAGCACCAGAGTGAGTGAGTGTGAAAGAGAGACGGAGAGATCAAGTCTTAGCAGAACTGTTTTTCCTCTGAAGGCTGAGTTAGCGACAAGCTGCGCAGTTATTTCAGTGATTTCGCGCTTGTTAACACCCAACGGGTGAAGCAGCTCCATACTTCATACCTCTGTGTGAGTGTGTGTGTGTGTTTGTGTGTGTGTTTCTAAGAGAGAGTGAAAAGGAGAGACAGAGATAATTTGCATGCTTAGCAAAGCATGAGCCTATACAGCTGCAGAACTTAACTCTTGGGCTGACTGAGTGTGTGTGTGTGTGTGTGTGTGTGTGTGTGTGTAAGCACTAGAACTGCACAATACGGACAGAATACTAGTATTGCAGCTACATATTGTAATGTGGTGGTGAACCATGACTTGTTAGCGCTAGGCCTTCATTTCAGCCATAAATGTCAAAACTCCTATGATAATGCTAATTTGTGCTTTTTTGGCCGTTCTACATTAAACATCGACATTTTAATCTTGCATACCTTTAACCCCTTAAAATCTCGGGCTTATTACATACTAAAGCTTATCACTCTGAACTACAGGGACCTTAATGCAAACTGTCTGAGCTGTTCTTAGGCTATAGGAGTGTGTAATAAAACTTTGCGCCCACTAGTGGGCCCTGGCCTTTTAAAGGGTTAATGGGACGCTTTCAGTGGACATTAACATATATTTTACCCTATGTGTAGCAGTTTTACCATGATACTTTCAGTAAAGAGCCCTGGCATAGGACTGCTGCCACTGTTTTCCTTTTCTAACAGCTGATGGAGTAGAGCTCCTATTCATAGTCAACCAAAACCAAACAATAAGTGTATTAAAAAGAGTAAACTGAGTATAAATAAGAGTATATGAGAGTTGAAATACAACAAGCTTGACGATTATGTTAAATAAAAATGAACTAAACATTACAGGCATTAAATTTTTACTTCCCAGAAATCATTAGGCGTTCTAAAGACCTAGAAGGCCCTGAGACTTCCCCACTGTTGTGATTGCAATACATTAAATATGTGGTATATTAAAAATGCATTGGTGAATCAGTCATGTGACATGATTATGGACCAGCCTGCATTATTTTAACCACAATCATGTACTTGTCTCTCGGATTACGTGAATACATTGGATCATCAAAACACCCACAGAAACTCATCTGGAGCTGGGACTGATCAGGATGCTCACAGAACTCAGTGAAAAATATTGTGATTGGGTAGAAGTTTGTTTGCATATTACAACCTTCGCTGATGCCAGTATTGCAAAACAATATCACAATAACGATTAACAAATGGTATTGTACAGGCCCAGCATGTGTGTTGATGTTTTTGTGAAGTGTATTGAGCTTAGAGAAGCTTAATGAAGAGCTCTGTTGGAGTTGGTCCCTCAGCTTTCAAATTTAAAACTGATTTTAATCTGTATTGATCAATCTGCCATGTCATTTTCTGCTTCCTTAAAAGCCCCCTGCTATTGGAAATCAATACAGTTTGAAAGAGACCCTCAAGATGACACACACACACACACACACACACACACACACACACACTCAAAGGCTAATATGTTTGCTGCAGGGCTTTTTATTAAGAGAGTGTGAACTGACATTTCCCTGCTGCTCAGAGTTGATGTGGAATGAGAGGATGTACGTGTATGTGTGTGTGTGTGTGTGTGTGTGTGTGTGTGTGTGTGTGTGTGTGTGTGTGTCCTCACAAAGGCCTTTGCCTGGTCCTCTGCTGCTCATTTCTCCCTTTTACCCTTTCTGTTTTTTCTTCTGTTTTCTCCTCCTGGCCATGTCATTTTACCATCATCTAGACTTACAGCAGACTGCTTTGCTTGAGGATGTAGATTTTACCACATTAACCAAATGAATGTTTTGGGTGTAATGTAATTAGTGTGGCACATGCAGGGAATTTACTGTGTGAAGGTCAACAGCATCAGCAATAATCCAGAATATGTAGATATTATCGGGGCTACAGTGTTAGAATAAAAGCCAAATAAAAGCCATAATAAGCATTAGGGGTGTCACACAATATGCATTTTAATGGGATCACAAGATTATACATGCTGTTATTCAAACACAGACTTCAGTCTGTAAAATGAATGGTAACGGGAATGGTTTCCATAGTTCTGTTTAAAACAATTCATAACATCCCCAAAAGTGATAACCACAAAAAGAAATCTCCACTGAGCAGCTTTTGGAACTGGAAAAAACTGGTTTGGTTAGCTTGCCTTAAATGGTTAATCAGCCGAGCTGTTTGAAATGGCGAGGTTTCTCAGTCAAGTGCAACAGTGATGGGATCAAATGTTCACCATGTGCCGACATTGCTTAACGTGAGGATTGGATACCTGTGCAGATGCCTCAGATGTGCCAACACATTTGAGAAGCCAAATGCAAAGGTAGAGTTTGCCAGCTTCATATTCAAATTGCCTGTTCCACCTTAAATGAAGCGGTAGTTACATGTTACCACTGCTCTATTTAAGGTGGAATTAAAAATTTGAGTAGGAAGCTGCCGAACAGGAAGCCAACTTTCAGAGAAAGCATGAGTCTCAGCAGCTACTTTTTCCTTCAGGAATCAGGCAGCCTCTACATGCCAATTCTGGACAGGGGAAACAAATAACTTGCTCCTTAGAAATTTTGATAGCTACTGATCTGCACTTCTATTCGGTTGTGGAGTCCACCTCTGTTCTCTTGTAGAATCCACCTCTATTTGGTTGTGGATTCCACAGTTTGCTGGGAATGATAGAGCCACATTAGAAAATCCCCACTCACTCATTTCAGCCAGAAGGAAAGAGACACATTTTATATACAAACAGAAGATCAGACTGTAAGTGCTTGTAATGTTGAGTTTATTTACTATTGAGATGTGGCCTAATAGTTTGCATTTTGGTTTACTTTTATGTAAATATTACACTTTTGTTTACAGTTTTTTTAGTTATTTTATAAATTCTAAGAAAACGACAGACGGTGAAACTTACAAAATAAAATGTTTTGGGAATTATGAAAAAATATATACAAAAATAAATGCTGAAGTTACTTTAGCGTTTCTTTTCTAATTCTGTATCAAAAAAATCTATTGTATCGTGATGCAAAAACAACAATACAAATCGCATTGTGAAGTTGACATATCATTACACCCTTAATAAGCATCATATTATATTCAGATATTTAAAGCATTATATTTGACTGATAATTAGTGCTTATTAATGTTACTTTAATTAGCTTAATTTTTGTATGAGCAGGTATCAGTTGAGCTCAGTTTTAAAGATCCCATCACATGGAAAACTGAATTTCCCTCGCTTTTTGAAATAAAGTGGTTCATGTCATATAGGGATGTTAATGATTAACCCATGAACCGTTAACCGACAAATTCATAGATGTTCAATCAGTGCTTTTGATTCAAAAGTTCATTTATTTTTGCAGTAAGCAAATGATATTTGAATAGGTAGGTGTTTCTTTTAACTTGAGGACTGCTTTTGAATTGTATGCATGAGGACACAAGAGCACAACTTGTTCTGGTAGCTCTACTTACATATGCGCAACGACCCCACTTAATTATAACTGGCAGCGCCAGAGCTGA